CATCTTCATCAAATGACTGCTTTATATCTGAAAAATAAGTGAAAATGACTATAAGTATGTGCATACATAAATTTCATAAAAACTGATTTATTCTATAATATAAACAAACTTACCCAGTTCCTCAAACTGGCTTTCTGCAGTCATAGATGACCCTGGATGTACGTCGGAAACATCAAATGACTGCTTTATAGCTGAAAAATAATTGAAAAAGACTATAAGTATGTGCACACATAAGTTTCACAAAAATTGATTTATTCTATAATATAAACAAACTTACCCAGGTCCTCAAACTGGCTTTCTACAGTCATAGATGACCCTGGATGCATATGGCTAACATCAAATGACTGCTTTATATCTGAAAAATAAGTGAAAATGACTATAAGTATGTGCACACATAAATTTCATAAAAATTGATTTATTCTATAATATAAACAAACTTACCCAGTTCCTCAAACTGGCTTTCTGCAGTCAGAGATGTGCCATCTTCTGGTTGCACCATTTCATCTAAAAAATAAGTAATATTGAAAGGAAAAATACATTTGCATGTAAGTTATATAAAAATACAACATAATACTTATTCTTAGCTTTTAAAATGAAGTCGTCCTTTTTGTGGAAAAAATACATACCTGTGTCCATCCATTTTCCTCGCAGACCTGGCAAAGACAGTGTGGGGATACTGTTATGCTTCAGGTTTGTTTTATTATGAAGACCAGCGAACAGTGACTCCTGTGTGAAATGTAATTCACACACACAGTACTGCCTTCGTCTGGATGGATGGACGTCGATTAAATCTAGCCTGCATATAGCGAAACACCATTTTATTCGTCTCTGAAGCAGTTAATTTTTACAATTTAAAAAATTTTTGTAATCCTTCGATATGTTCGTATATCATTAAAGGCTACAATATATCCAAGTTTCAACAAAATCCGAAATATTACCCAAAAAGTGTTAGACTTCACGTAGAATGACCCTTCGTTATTATTGGGAGAAAATTTGTAATATGAATAAAATTACAAAAACTGGTTTTAAGTATAATCTTACCTCTTTCTCCTGTGGTAAAACATAGAATTTAACTTTACTCTTCCCGCTCCTGCAACCAGGAACACAGCAAGACACCATTTCCGTAAATTTGTAATCCTCCTGCAACCACCTGCAACAGAAAACAAAATTTAAATGGCCAACGGGTCAACGGCTTGAACTCCCGCCACCGCCAAAACCTGTTTTATCCACCGACTACATAGCACTACATAGAAGTACATGTGTCGAAAAATGCGACTTTAGCACCATTGGTGATGTGACTCGGTAGCTTATGACTGACCACACTATTCTAATGGGAGTTAACAGCCCGTGCGGGCCACGCAGCCGAGTCGAGTGGAAAAAGATGCTTTCTCTGTCTGTTCTCTGCGTCGCTTGTCTTTTTCTATGTCGGAAGACTACAAAGGTGAGTCCCGAGGCTCGATCCTCGGGCAAAGAACGTATTCACAAGGGTCAGAAGCATTTCGCCTGGTCCACGATTATCGTCCACTCGCGGACCCGAGTTAGGGACGATAATCGAGAGGAGTCTGTACAGTGTATACGGGCGACGCACAGTGAGGTATTGGACCCCACAAGCTGGCCAAAACAATTTAAAAATTTACTCAATCTTCAAAATCTCATAACTTTCTTACTATTCATCCAAAGTTGATGAAACAAAAACCATTTTAAAGTTTAAACTTTATAGTTTTTGGTTCTTTAAATCAATTTTACCAGAATGGTTGTCTAGAGGGTAAAATTCATCCTTAACACTATTCCTACCGACACTTCACGTATACCTATTTCTACCGCGACCGGTCAAATGACCGGTGTTTAGCACAACTTATATTTTTTTAACCCTTTACGCTCGAGGCCGTTTCCGTGCGGACCAACCAGCAACTCGAGACGTTTCGTAGCGCTTTTGGTGACTTTACTACCTCTAACATAAATGATTACACACGCAAAGTAACATACAAAACTTTTATATTTTAATATTTAATGTATCTTTACATCTTTACGAGGATAATTTGTTTAACATTATTCTTTGTAATTTTGCTTTGTATGATATTTCATGTAACAATTGCCGAGATGTATGCCCGGCTTATCGGGACAAGTATCACAATAGTACGTCGTTTGATGTTTTTTGCCATGTCTACTTCTTTGAGAGCAGACTTTGCAATCCTTCCTAACTCCTGTTAGAATGTTATGCAGCTTTCCATTTAAGCGGTCGTTTTCAGAACTGGAGGTTGAGGTTGAAGATCGAGCACGTGTCTGATGAAAATCTCCAGTCAATTGCTGAACTAAGGTTTTCACATACCTCAAGTGACTAAGCGGCTGTTCTCCTCTCTGCTGTTTAGTCATTTTATAAAGTAAATACGAATTTATTGAGCAAATTTCAAGCCCCCCAAAAAACAGTTCACGCCACCATTTCAAGGATTTTCGTAAGAAACAGTACATTGCGGCTAATTGATCTGCACGATCGACACCACCCATATGTTTTATATAATTTATTACAACATTAGGCTTCTTGACGGTAACTTCAACACCACCTCGTAACATTCTTCTCACAGAAGTCATTCCTGCATTGTTCCAATTCGTCAAGCACGTGACAACCCTCTTGTCTTTCCATGATAAAACTAATGTATTTCCCTTGCGGAATGCTACTGTCGATTTCCTGCCGAATTTTGGTTTCTTGATTTGGTTTGGCAAATGCTTCCTATTTGTTAGTATTGTTCCTGACAAGTGGCATTTCAATTTCAATAACTCTTCAGCTAGGATAAAGCTGGTGTAGTACCGATCGGTGAACATGTGGTGTCCTTGACTACCAGGCACTTTCTCCAGGAGCATCGTATAAAGGTGCAGCGGTATTCTTGCAGATATCGGAAGGTCAGGCCTTATCAATTTCTCCGTGGTAAGACTTCCATAATACGGAAGAATACCACAGATATAACCAGTATTTGAGTCTGCCATTGTGTAAACCCTAATACCTCATTTCGTTGGTTTCTTCGGGTTGTACGTGATAAAAGAAACCCGACCTTTGAATTTGATAGTGGACTCATTCACACAAATTTCTTCTCCCTGTGTAAAATACTTCAAAAGCTTGGAATTTATATATTTTAAAAAGCAGCTTACTAGCTGCAAACGGGTTCTTGGACCTGCATCTGTTGTTGGGATTGTTTTTAGATGAAGCATCCAAAAAATCTGGCTGAATCTATCTCTGGTAAATTTGTTTGAATAAAAAGGTATGTAACTGACACCATTCCGTGACCAGTACTCTTGCAAATTCGCGAGCGGCATTGTCCCCATATTTATTATAACGCCAATAAATGCCCACATTTCTTCGGTAGTCACACTGTGCCAAGTTCGCCATATCGAGTACGGTGATAGCGTCTTGTTCTCTAACTTTCTTCTAGCGTAATTATTTGTTTCTGTAACTACTTCATTTACGAGTTCATCAGTAAAAAATAGTTTAAAAAAATCTAACGGTTCTTTCGTGTCTGCGAATATGTGCGGTCCTGCAGGATTGTTGCCGGCTATAAACGGTATTCTCTGGGGTATTTCTTCGGATTCTGGACAGCTAATCCATTCGGAACTGTCGGATTGTGGGTCTTCTCCAGCATCACTGTCACTGTCACCTTCACTGTCTATTATTCTAATTTTTCGCCTTCTTACACCTCTTACTTCATTATTATCATCATCACTGCTCGCGTTCTCTCTATCGTCAAGCTCTCTGTGTATAGATGTAATTTCCTCGTTTAGCAATTCTAAATCAAACTCATCTTCACTAGAGCTTATTTCATTATTACGTTCCATGGTAATGGGGATCAAAAACTTCAACTTTTCTAGACTCTTTGCCACGGCTGTCAGGTTCGAACTGAGACCGAAAATGCAATCCGGTTCGTGGTTGCGTACTAATTTCAGATAAGAAAGTCTTATCTCCATTCGAAGGGATATCATTTCACACTTCATAAGATTATACAAACAGAGCGTAGGAACCCACGTCGAAGGAACTAAACGTAAACAACTACCGCCGCGCATCAAGTTACCGCAGCGTACGAAGTGGTGAGCGACAGTCACCTCTCGAGTGCAAAGGGTTAATATAGAATGAAGATAATAGCCAATTTGACAGTACAAAAATATAGTTTCTTTTATTTATGTAGGGGATGTCAGGATTGTTCTTCTAGAAATAACTGTTTAATAAAAGATATACATCGTCGCGTGGTCGTCTGAGAGGGCACTGCGTGCCGTGCACGCGCCCGTCTTTATAGTCTTCTTGAACAAAAGACGGTCGTCGATGGCCGCTGCATGCGGCCACGGTTACGTGGTCTCACGCACGTCCGTATTCGCTTACAACTCGGCTATCCTGACCTAGAGATCGGCCTCGATCTCCGATACAATATATCTTAACCTAAATAAGAATAAACTTCGATATTGCGCATTCACATATACATATCAAGCAACATTGTTACGCAGACACTATCCACGGCCGTATGTTTTTCGCTTCCCAAACTCCCTCATAAGCTCTTTGAGAATTTTGAAACCCTTCGACATCTGGTATTATATATCTATCATTGCGCAATTCTTTCGTAATTTTATACGGTCCTTTAAACTGTGACAATAACTTTTTAGACGCTCCCGGTGTACTATTAAAATTACGTATCATTACGAGGTCACCCTCGTTGTATTTTCTCGGTATTTTTCTCTTGCTATTATAATATTTTTCATTATACTCTTGACTATGTGCGATTTTGCTAGCTGCTTGAGCTCGCATTTCCGCTAAATTCTCCCGAGTAGTATTTATTGTTTCGTTTAAATATTCTTTTATTTCGTCTACAACTGTTCCGCGCTGATCTATTCCGAACAATAATTTACTCGGAGTTTCGCCCGTACTCTTGCTCACCGTATTATTTAAAGAATACTCTACATTATCCAATAACTTATACCAGTACTTTTCTTCCCGATTATCGGTCAGTTTACTTAAAATTGCTGTCAAAACACGATTAACACGTTCAACCTGACCATTCGCTTGTGGGGAGCCCGTAGCAATTAGTACATGTTTTATATTTCGTTCGGCCAGAAAGTCACGAAAGTCTTGCGCTGTAAAACAGGAACCCCGGTCCGATACAATTGTTTTCGGCCTACTGTAATTTATAAAATAGTTTGACAGATGCACTAATAACCTCCTTGGTCGACGTTGATTTGGTCGGATACAATCGTACATACTTGGTGAACGCATAAACTATCAGAAATATGTGTTTCTTCGCCGAATGTTTCTTATCAACCGGGCCGAAATGATCGACATGCAAAACAGAAAATGGTACGGTATCTTTTGGTATACTATGTAGGACAGCTTCTTTTTTTCCCGATGTAGGCGAATAGGAAACACACTTTAAACAATTTTTTATGTGAACATCTAATTTTTGTCTTAGTTTCGGAAACCAATAGCTTTTCAAAATAGTCTCTGCCGTTTTTTCAACACCTAGATGTCCCATTTGATCATGATACTTGAACAAAATGTGTTTCTCCATATTTTCAGGAACATAAAAAAGTAAATGATTTCCGCACTTTCTGTAAATTAACCCATTTCTCATTTCGTAAGATGAAGCTTCGGTTTTCTCGAGCTTATTGACTAATTGCTGTCGGCTACTCGATGTTCTATTACATAATCGAAATTTTGCAGTTCTAACGCCCACCTTGCAATTCGCGGATTAACCTCTTTCTTTTGTAACGTCAGTTTCAATGAGTTACAATCAGTCACTATTTGGAAGGAAATACCATATAAATATATTCTAAATCGTGTCTGAGTGCATATATTACAGCCAATGTCTCCAACTCGAAACTATGGTACTTGCTTTCCACTTCCGTTGTTCGCTTAGAAAAATATAACACAGGGTGAAATTTTAAATCAGCCTTTTTCTGCACCAAGACGGCACCAAAACCTAAAGAGCTGGCGTCGCAATGTAACTCTGTCACATCATGTGAACTATAAATAGACAATATAGGAGCTGACGTTAATTTCGATTTTATGTTTTCGAACGCGTTTAACTCGACTTCTGTAAACTTGAATACGACATCCTTCTTTAATAAGTCATATAGTGGTTTAGCAATTATTGCAAATCCTTCAATAAATTTTCTGAAATAGGAACACAATCCGAGGAAACTTTGTATCTGACGCACACCTTGTGGTGCTGGAACCCGTAACACTGCTTCAATGCCAGTTTTTGAAGGACTTATACCTTCCGACGAAATGACGTATCCTAAATATTCAATTTTCATAAACAGAAACTTACACTTATCTATTCTTAAATCTAACTTATTATCTACCATAATTTTAAACACACGCTTAAGAACTGTCAAATGATAATCTAGTGTTTCTGTAGCTACCAGAAAGTCATCCATATATACAACCACATCACCTGATCGCACTAGTTCCTGTAATACTTCATTTACGAATCTTTGAAATTTCGTAGGTGCTGGCTTTAGACCGAAAGGCATTTTGAGATATTCAAATTGACCGAATGGTGTAACAAACGAAGTGTATTTTATAGATTTCTCCTCCATATATATGTGATAAAATCCATCTTTTAAATCTAAGATACTGAAATATTTTTTCCGACTTAATACACTTAGCTGATCTTCAATTACCGGTATCGGGTAATTATCTCGCGCAACGGATTTATTTAGGACTCGAAAATCGACGCACATTCTATATTCACCACTTTTTTTGCGCACAAGAACAATCGGTGAAGCATACTCTGAATTACTCGGAAGGATAACATTTCTTTCCAATAGTGAATCTAGAATTTCTCTTACATGTTCTTTCTCTACGTAAGAAAGTCGACGCGGAGAAAAATGAAACGGTTGCAATTCCTTAACGTTTAACGTTAGCTCGGCTTTAACCTTAAGTTCTTTTGGACGCGGTGGTGTTGTATAATTTTCCTGAAATAAACTTTGCAACTCTAACGTCTGTGTGTGAGGAATATCGGCATTGATATTTAAGGAGGTTGTTTTATTAGATTCAGTTACGTCGATGTTTAATATTTCTGAAACAATGTTCTCTCGCGCACTCGTCGATGGGCCGCAAAGCGTTACATTAAGCAATTTCAAAACGTCTCTCCCAATTACTGTTGTAGACGACATTGTATCATCCGGAACCACGTAAATTAACACATTTGTCCGTACAACATTGTCGTAGCGCATATTAACCTGAATAGTTCCGACTACTAAAAGCTTACTACCATTAATACCATGGAAAATATTATCTACAACATTGTTACGTTTAATAAACTTATGGGGAATCAAACTCTCTTTAATAAAACTTATCGGACTACCCGTGTCTATCAGAACGTCTACATTTAAACCCAACTCAGCGTTTAATTCAAGAGTAATTGTTTTTTTTAAACTCACATTCATATGACGGCTTTTGTGTGATACAATTTACCTCCTGCGTATCTGGATTACTTTTGCATTCTCGCGCTATGTGTTCTTTCTCGCCACATTTGAAACACGGACCTCGTTCTCGCTGCGGCATTCTACACTCCCTAGACGCATGTCCATATTTGCTGCAATTGTAGCACCGAATTTTATTTTGTATGGCCGTCGAGTCCTTCGATGAAACAGCCTGCTCCCTGTGATGTACACTTCCTGTTGCCGTCTTGTCTCGTGTTGACAACGGGCTCGTTCCCATCCCTCTGGTTTCCATCGGTGGAGTTTTCCCTGGCCTGCTCGATGTTTCCCGCAAACTGATGTTTTCGAAAGCAGCAAGCAACGCTGACTTCGAATCAAAGCGATGAAGCCGTGCTTGGTTCCGCAAAAGGACATTGGGAATTCCGTCAATGATGCATTCGATTAGCTCTTCTTCATCGACCGAGATGGTATTTGCCAAAATGACTTTGTCGTGGAAATATGTCGCAAACTCCTCACTGAAACGCCACATTCTTTCCTCAAACTGTCGCCGTAGTTTCAATTTACTCTGTTGATGATCGAATAATTTCTTCATTTCGTCCAAGGTCGCTGATACCGTCCACTCAATATGTTCCGGTCGAGACTAGAACCAGTTCAACGCCTTTTCCTTTAGCCGCATTCCCAATAAAATTTTGGCTTCTCTTTCATCCAGTTGGTACGTATTAATTAACAGTTTTAACTGTCTTTCCCAATTTTTGAACGAATTGTCCATGCCAGTAAAATTACTGAGCAAATCACCCACTGATTTGATGCCGATTCTAGCTTGTCTTTCGGATATGTTTGTGGTTACCCTAGGCGATCCACGTAGAGATTCGTTTTCTCTTTCCGACACACGCAATTTTCTTTCCAGTAATTGTTTCTCTCTCCGCAACCATTCTAATTCTCGCAATAAGTCCGGATTTGTACCGTTATGATGATCACTTTCCTCCCTTCGAGGCCCTTCGGTGGACGATCCCGCAATTTCTTCCGTCGCGTTGACACTTTCCATCGCGTTGATACCTTCCATCTGATTGCTTATTCCGGATGCCTCTAATTCACGTATCCAATCTCCGCTCGGATCACTCTCTTGTAATCGGCAAATCAAATTGGCTTTTTTTCCGGCAGTCGGCAATTCTTTCTTCGATAAAATTTCTTTCAGTTGTGCCAGCGTAAATTTATTTAGGTCCATAGTACCCCTGCACGTAATCTTCTCTTAGAAAACCACACTTGGTCACTAGAATACTGCCCGACAGATCACACTGCACACACACACTTTGTATACTGACACTGAGCGCCTTCCGACCACTAATATTCCAATTCGAGACACACAGTCAGATCCCACTTCTGAAATTTTGTAGGGGATGTCAGGA